AGACAGGGTCGTCCCAATATGCGTTTTTGCAATTTGCATATAGGCAAAAACGCATAAAAATGAGAAGTTAGAAGGCTGTAAATTTAAGGGGATATCTTTCGTCCACGTAGAACACAGCTCTGCACCTAGTTATGCGTGGTTCTCACGTACGGGCCGGTGGAAATCCTTGGCGGGTAAGTGGCTAACTCGGGAACCAGAAAAGCTAGAAAGCTGAAAATTTAAGGGGATGTTTTCAAACAGCCCTGATGGCCAGTCTCATTTCTGTTAGCTAGAAGATGTGCCGGAAAAACAGTGCCGTTCACGACACAAACTGCGGAGAACTATATGTCGTTCCAATATGCGTTTTTGCTGCCTGTTGCAGCGCTCTAACGCTGCACGGCAAAAACGCATAAACCCAGGCTGGAACGCACCAGGCGGGCCGGTGCGATTATGCGTTTTTGCACTTTTCGTGCTGTAGCAAGATCGCAAGAAATAACAGTAGCTAACTCTGTGACATACCGGCCGTCGAAGTTCGGGAAGTTAATTGTGCAACTGTGAAGTATGTTAGTTGTTGACGTCGATTTTAGTGACCCGACAATTGGAAAGTTGTTGGTCCGCAAAAAAGACCGCACTAGAGGAGTTAAATTTGAAATCTTTTGGTCACACATGAGCAGGGAACTTTACCCTAGAGTTTCAGCTTTCTAGCTTTTCTCGTTCCCGGGTAATTTTTGCGCCAAAATTTCCACGTGCCCGTAAGTTGGCTCCCGGTGCTTCTAAACACTTGATTTTGGTCGTACACGAGTAGGAAACATTTTCCGAAAGTTTCAGCTTTCTAGCTTTCCCTGTTCCTGGGTAAGTAATTTTCGCGCCAAAATTTCCACGCGCTCGTACATGAGATCGGGTGCTTCTAAACATCTGATTTTGCTTGCACATGAGTAGGAAACATCCCCCGAAAATTTCAGCTTCCTAGCTTCCCGTTCGCGGATTAGTAATTTTTGCACCAAAACTTCCGCTTGTGACGTACGTGGATCTCGGACGTCTCCAAACAATTGATTTTGGTTGTACATGAGTAGGGAACATTCCCGTAAAACTTCAGCTTTCTAGCTTTTCCCGTTCCCGGGTAATTTCCGCGCCAAAATTTCCGCATGCCCGTAAGTGGGCCCCGGGTGCTTCCAAACACTTGATTTTCGTTGTAAACAAGTAGGAAGCCTTCCCCGAAAGTTTCAGCTTTCTAGCTTTTCCTGCTCCCGGGTTAGTAATTTTCGCGCCAAAATTTCCACACGTTCGTACGTGAGCCCGGACGCTTCCAAACATCTGATTTTGCTTGTACATGAGAAGGGAATATTGCCCCCGAGTTTCAACTTTCTCGCTTCTTCCGTTCCCGGGTTAGCAATTTTCGCGTCAAAATCTTCACATCCGTGCGTGAGCCCCGGGCGGTCCTAAGGAGCTGAGTTTAAGAACTCTTGGTCGTGCGTGAGCATGTTAAAACTTTTTAGCTTTTCCCATTCTCGAGTTATGAATTTTCTCGCCATAATTTCCACGTGCCCATAAGTAAGTCCCCGGCAGTCTTGGGCAGCTGAATTTGAAATCTTTTTGTTATAAGGTTTCAGCTCTCTAGCTTTCCTCGTTCTCGAGTTATCAGTTTTCTCGCCAAAACTTTCACGTGCTCGTACGCGGAGCCCAGACGTGCGTGTGAGTTGATACCGCGGTTTTGAGGTGGTACTTGGCTGGGGAACACACTGGCAAAATTTCAGCTTCAAAAGCTGCGTGGTTGGCGAGTTGAAATACCCGGACAGACGAACACACACACAAACAAACAAACATACACACACACTCTCGCACACTGACAGGGTCATTGCAATATACGTTTTTGCTGCCTGTTGCAGCGCTCTAGCGCTACACGGCAAAAAAGCATAAAAAACGCATCTCGCACAGGCAGTCAGTGCGCTGACCATTTGTTTGCCCTCAAAATCCCGCAGAAACGAAGGCTGACCCCATCCCCATGCATTCAATGTACTTCTCTTTTTGCTCCATTTATATCCTACAAAGGGAATTATTCGCACTCAACTTCATTTAAGCATCAACTTCATAAATAATTACCCCCACTGACGATGGATTTTAACAGGACAATTTCCACTAGCACGGGATCTCTTTTTTGGCTACTATCTATAGACTCAGTTTTTTCGACTTTGCTTTTTTCGGCTTTATTAATAGGCTCAGATTTACTTTAATTTACTTTTCTTTGCAGTGTTGTGTTGTCGCTTTTCCTTTACTGCTGTCCTCAGTTCTTTCCTCAACCTGCCAACTTATATTCTCGTTCCCCTTCTCTACCCCGTCCCCAAATCCTGCCTGCAAAGCGACATCTGAGCTCCTCTCCATCCTCACTACGAAAGTACTTAGAAAGCGAGCAATATTTCAGCCCTTTCCCTACCCCGTGTACCCGCGGCAAAAATTAGTCGCACACTTACTCCTCCTTCCCACCCATCACCTCCTCCTCCATCTCCCTTCCAAATATAAGTGACTTAGCCAACCAATGAAGGATCTACGTCATGCAAGCATTAAATTCACCTACCTCAGCCCGTTCCCTGTCTCGAACGAAACCCGCAGCACACCATTCTTCCTTTCCACCTGCCTCATTTCGAACTCCCGCCACTCACAATGGAGTAACCCTATCCGTCATCACCAAGAGCTAAATATAATGGGAGTGAAAAAGATGGAAAAATTAATTATCTGCGTGAGGAGGGAGTTTTGAGGGCCAGAGTTTGGACATCTCTTGGGGATGGTTTTGCTGGCAAGAAGTTGTCACTCCTAAGCCACCAGTTACCCGGAAAGGAATTTCAAGTTTTATTTCCGGTTTTAACAAGTGAGAGTGCGTAGCACACATGTGATGTACCGTTTTCTCCTCACCATCAACTAAATAACGTTTGATGTGTTCGCTCAAGAATTTATACACTTTCACTGAACACATTTTTCGGAATTCTGGGAAGCATTGCACTACAAAGGTTCGTCATTCATCAAAAAGAAGTGAATCGACAAACAATGATCGAGCGCACGAGCGGTTACACCCCACCGACACGACGTGTGCTCCTGCTCAACTGCTACAGCTAAAATAAGAAAACGCGAGGAAGCGCTGCTCCTCTATCAAAATTCGGACATTTCGACGCAGTGTCTTACGCATGCGTTGCCAATGAGCGGACAATAAAGCAAGTACACTTTTAGGTCTGATGACAGTGCACGCTATGCCGTAACGAGCAGTGGTGAAGCTACACGCCACGAATGACCAAGACACATTCTCAGGAATTGCTTCGTTGTCGACCAGTAAGACGAACCAGAGATTAGCAAGTCCAAACACCAATTCTGCAGCGCACCGCATTAAATAATGATTAATGATGCTGCTACCACAAGCCATTTCAACATAAGGAAGTTTGGGCTGCACAAGCCATTGACCTTCCTCCTCATGCCCCATTTCCTCTGTATTCAAAGTTCCAATGACCAAACACCGGACGATTACATGCCTTCAGTTACAGCGCGTACAGATGCCAGCTGTTCACGTCAGCTGTGACAGCTCCATTGCTTCGCACCGTAGTGGTCTCATTGAACGAAAGAAAACCAGAACTCACCTGTTCTAAACTACAGAGCGTCCCCTCTTTGTAATACTCATAATTTTTCCCCAGGCAAAGAAAGAGACAGAAGCAAAGCTGCGTCGTCAAGGGGCCAACATCCTGATGATTCAAGTCTTTGTTCGCCAACTTTTTTTTTCGTTCATCCGAAAAATACCCTGATACATACACATACACATACACACACACACACACACACACACACACATACACGTGCCAGACCCTGCTACAAAGTACATACGCGCAACAGTATGCCGGATCGAAATTTTTTACTCATTTTTCCCCTAACGACAGGTGAGCGCACTTAGAAGGGCCCGAACAACAGCATTTTGCCAACAGCTGCTACCTTCTGCAAGAATGTCGATTGTTCCTCTTTTCGCGAGCTGCGTCAGAAAATGAAAGCGGTTCTGTCCCCTGGCGTGTGTAAGTGCCAATTTGCCACTGATAAGAACTGTTTATTCCATGAGCGGACTGCCCTCTTCCTCCCCCAGCCCCTCCCTTCGACTAACATCAGCTTGAGAATGCTATACCAAAAAAAAAAAAAAACAAACAGGTGCCTTCACTACAGACATTCACATATATTTTTTCTCAGCCACACATTTTATTTATTCATGCTGCCGCCTATTTCCTGGTCATTCGCCTATGACTTAATCTTTTTTTTTTTTTTGATGAGACGCAAAGAGCTAGCTAAGAACTGATAAGACGCACCTTTGAATTTACTTCGGATGTCAGCGCTCTTTTTGAAAAGTCTTTTCAAAGTTCCGCAATCCCCAAATTCGTTAGAATCACTCGCAGTTGCATCGTCCGACTCCACGACAACAACTTCAGAGAGTCCGGTACTGGACACTGTATCATCGGACTCGTTTCTGAGTAAATCGTCTCGATCAGACGTCATTTTTTCGATCCGAAAAAATTCATTGCTTATTGCTCTACAGGGCACAAATATACGCGGCGTGAAGACGAAAACGTACACAGTGCTGAGGGATGAAAACAAAGCAAAACTACTTTCAGTCATAGGAAATGATGAAAGTAGTAGAGAAGGAAAAATGAGTGAATGATTTGGCGTGCCCTTGCCCCTGCTGCAAATCGCTGTAGCATACGATCGACCAGCCGCAACAGTGCATTAGTAGCTACTCAAAAGTATCACAAGCAGATGCAATTCAACGGCAAGACACTACGTTTGTACTGCACGTCCGCGCCTCACTCCGAAATGAATGCACTGCGTCTAGCGCTAGAAAACCGGAAGAAATCTGGCCAAAACTGTGATCATTACAACGAAAGCATCTGCGAACATTCGGTGAGATGACGGGAAATTTTTACCTTCCGCTTTTTCGCTCTCTTTATGAACTTCTCTGCAAGCAGAAGCGACCCGAAGAGCCTATGACAGAGCAAGCATTTTCATGCGAAAAAAAAAAAAAACGAATGATAAGACACAGATGGAATGACTGTAGTCCTCAGGGGACGCCCAAAAAGGCTCGAGCTTCGTGATTAAACCGTGAACAAAAACACACCACAGTCATTAAATCTGTTAGCAAAGCAACTTAGAGAGAGACAGAGCACGCCCACGAAATCCGATCCAGCAGAATGCTGAAGCGCGGGAGAGAGCGCCGGAGCAGACAACAGATATGCGTCCCCAGCTGCTAGCAGCGCAACACTCTGGCCTGTTCTGCCTGGATTATTGCAGACTGACCGGTGAGTGAAGTGCGAAGAGAAGAAATCCATGCCGTTTCAAAGCACCCCTTGTACATTAATGCTCGGCATCCAGCTCTGTGGATCTCAAGCACATCGAGAAGGTAAACCGTCAAAAAAATCCAACAAATAATCTACAATAGGGATGCAGGTCCAAATTTTTTGTCAAAACAATGGCCTGGACAAAATCAACAAGTGGCCAGCGTATCGAATGCCGGTGCGAAAATGCGTTGTTTGCACAGCTCCCAGCAAATTTTTTTTGCTAACGGCACTGGTTTTTCTTGCAGATGCTTCTAGCGAAAAAATTGAAAATGGCCGCCAGGACTACCAAAAAACATCCTTTAAAATTTCAGCTTTCCAGTTTCTCTGGTCTCCGAGTTAGCAACTTGCCCGTGAAGACTTTGGCGGGCTCGTACATGAGTACCACGTGGATAAGAGCGCCCATTCTGGGGATGGGACCCGTACATGTATGTAGATTAAGGTCCCAAAGTTTTAGCCCTGTAGCTTTTCTAGGTCTCGAGATAAAAAAACCGGCACAGATGAGCACACAAACACACACATAAACAACCACTCGTCAACATACGTTTTCTGCATTGCATAGATGCAAAAAACGCATAACCCGGGCTGGAACGCACCAGGCGGGCCGGTGCGATTATGCGTTTTTGCACTAGCAAGATCGCAAGGAATCAAAGTAGCTAACCCTGTGAAATACTGGCCCTCGAAGTTCGGGAGGTTAATTGTGCAACTATGTTGTATGTCAGTTGTAGGTGTCGACTTCAGTGACCCGACAAATGGAAAGTTGCTGGTCCGCCAAAAAGGCCACGCTAGAAGAGTTAAATTTAAAATTTTTTAGCCGCACATGAACGGGGAACATACCCTTAAAATTAAAGCCTCCAGCAGTTCCCGAGTTAGCAGTTTTCCCATCAAAATTTTCACGTGTCCGTACGTGGGAGCCAGACGGTTTTAAGCAGCTGAGTTTAAAATTTTTTGGTCATACACAGATAGGGAACATAACCCTAAAGTTTCAGCTTTCTAGCTTCTTTCGTTCCCGGGTTAGTGATTTTCGCGTCAAAATTTCCACGCGCTCATACGTGGGCTCAGGTGCTTCTAAACACCTGATTTTGCTCGTACATGAGCAGGGAACATTCTTTTAAAGATTTAGCTTTCT